GCTCCGTGACGCTGAGGCCAGGTGGGAAGGCCCCAGGCCTGTGCCTCAGGGTCCCCAGTGCATGCCAGGCATGCGCATGCAGGCCCATGATCGGGGCTGGCTGAAGCTGAAGGCGAACTGGAGCATGAAGTCGCTGCTGGAGGTGCCTCTCTGTCTCCCTCTCTCATGAAAGAAAGAAAGGAGAAGAAAGAAAGAAAGAAAGAAAGAAAGAAAGAAAGAAAGAAAGAAAGAAAGAAAGAAAGAAAGAAAGAAAGAAAAAAGAAAGGAAGGAAGGAAGGAAGGAAGGAAGGAAGGAAGAAAGGAAGGAAGAAGAAAATGTTCTCTCTGCTTGTCGTCCATCTTTTCTTACATGGTGCTTCCTTGTGCATTAGCTCCCTGAGCGCATGAATCGTAGTTGTTTCAAATTCCCCGCCTGGTAATTTCGACATTCCTGCCATGGCTGAGTCTGAGGTGCGTGCTCTATCCCTTTAAGCTGTGCTTTTGGCCCTACATTATGTCTTGTCATTTTCTTGATGGTTGGACATGGCATCCTCAGTAAAAGGAACAGCTGTAAATGATGTCTATATGGTCATGCATGGCAAAATCACATTTCGATGGATTGTAAATGTGACGGGGGCCCCTCAAGGAATGAATAGACTACACCGGCCGTCCCCAACCTCTTTGGTCCGGGGGAGCAGAGTTGTGGAAGACAATTTCTCCATGGAAGATGGCGGGGTGATGTCTTAGAGAGTGCGGGAGCTGGACCTCCCATGTGCACAGTCCACTGGTGGGTTCATCTGATGGGGGCAGGGCTCAGGTGGTAATACTAGCTATGGGGAGCAGCTGTAAATACAGAAGAAGCTTCTCTCACTTCCCCCGCTGCTCACCTCCTGCAGTGTGGCCCAATTCCTAACAGGCCATGGGCCAGTACTGAACCATAGCCCAGAGGTCAGGGTCTCCTGGGCTCCATCCTCCAGCCTAAGTTAGGACCAGTGGAACCACCCACGTTCGTATCAGCACACTCTAGGACACCCCGCAATGATTAAGTCACCTGGGGAGCATTTCCTGGAACAGTCCCATCGTTAAACCATGCATGATTAGGTAGTGGTGAGACTCGGAGTGTGTGTGTGGGGTAGCGGGTGCCATAGTCCTGCGGGTAGACCTCAGTCTCTCAGTGAGCCTGTTCCGCCAACTGTGAACTTCGCAAGTGCTTCTCAGTCCCCCAGCCCTCCGTGGGTAGGACGCGATGGCTAGAGGGAGCGACTGGTGGGTGTTTCTCTTCCCTGAAGTCAGCTAGGTTCTGATGAAACCTCAGGATTCAGGCTCTGGTAAGTTTCTCCTGAGGTCAGGCCTTGTTCAGAACGGAATGCTCTGGTGTGTCTCAGAATGGTCTCTCCTCTCCCCCTCCAGGAACACAAGAGATTTCCCTGATAGCCCCTGGAAGAATCCGGTGGTACCTCTAAGGTAAAAGTCACCCCCGAAACAAGCCACCCCACCTGGAGTTCTGTTTTGGAGTTTCTGGTTTAGGATGCATGCACTTTGCCTGAGAGAGACAGAGAGAAAATGAGAGATCAACGCTCCAGGGGTGGGGGGATGGCCAGACTGCAGTCCCTCCTCCTCCATTCTCCTCTCATGCACGCACAGACACCTAGGATGACTTTCAAGCTACTGGGTCTGGAACTCAAACTGTGCAGCTGAGCACGTGAGATCCTGTGCCTTAACCTCCATGCCACCTGTCGGCCCTTACCAGGCCTTCTTAACTCTCGGGCTTGTCCACACCAAGCCTGCGTGAGTCGGTTCCACCTTCGCTTTCCTACCCGGCCCTGGTCCCGGCAGAGGTTTCTCCTCCGTAAGCTGACTCTGCATCCCTAGCCTCTCCAGCTTGGCGGCAGCAGTCCACTCTGTGACCTCGGGCCACTACGGAGCCAAGGGCCAGGCTTTTCAGGCTGTGCATCTTTCTACTTGCTAGGACAGGTTGACTTCCGAGCTCCTAACATGTCAGAGCCTGTGGTCCCCTTTCCAGCTCGTGACACACAGAGATCTGGCGTGCGGTCCCCGTGCCCGCTGTGGCAGCCCTTAGGCGGGGACCTGCTCTTTCTGCCTTTGTGTTAGGCAGCAACTAAAATGCAGGTGTCCCCACTCAGTCTGTGAGGTGCCAGATCACTGACTAGCTTTCCTGGGTGAAATCCTCTCTAAGATGTAGGGGTCCCTGCTCAGTCTGCAGGGCGCCAGATCACTGACGAACTTCCCTGGGCGAAATCTTAGACCACTGATAGCTGTCAATCGAGGGAGGCTTTGCCTCTGCGAACCATTTGGAAATGCCTGGAGACATTTTCGGTTGTCCTGAGTGGGGAGATGCTCCTGGCCTCTCGGAGGTCCAGGATCTGATTAGTCATCCTACGTTGCACAGAACAGGCCCCACGACAAAGGAGCTTCCTCCAAAATGTCCAAAGTGTTGAGGTTAAAAAACTGTCATGATTTTTACCCCCATAGGACACATGTACTCACCAGAGAAAGACAGAGAGAGAGAGGGAAAGTGGGAAATCACCCCCCAGGGGGTATGGCCACACCACAGTATCTTCTCGGTTCTCCTCTCAGGTCTCTGGGCATGCATGCACACATGCACAAGTGAGTTTCAAACCACCAGGTCTGGGACTCAAATCCCAGTCAGTCATGTGGGAATCCAGCACCTAAACCACCCCACCACTGCTGGGCCTAAACTTCCTTGTATTTCCCGTGAGGTCCCCTTCCCCTGTTCCCATCCACCGGCTACTCCATGCCCACCTTCAACACAATTGCAGTGTTGAACCAAGCTGACACCTCCAATGGTATAATTCACAGCTTTACTCCTTAACTTGGTTATATCTTGGTCTTGTCACCATAGTTGGAATACCTGCCAAGATTCAGCTAACACTTTACAGAGGATCTACTGCCTAACCAGCAGGAGGCTTGTCATTCTCTCTGGTCCTGCTTCATCATTCTCATAAGGTTGCATCAAGCCCTTGCTCAATGGTACCAGGTTCACTGCTTCAATAGGACGGGAAGATGGGTCTACCTGTCTGTCCAAGGAGGGAGCTGAGACTCAGAGAGGTTAACTGACGTGCTCCAAATCACAGAGCTGTAACTGCCTTGCCAGTCGGACTCTGAGGGCACTGCTCTTTATAACATGCCAGGCTTCTGCTCTCCCTGCCGGGGGACAGCCCCACCATAACCCTTCACTCCGCTGGGCCTGGCAGGTGCCCAGGGCCCAGGCGGAGGCTAACAAAGTCTGGAAACCCAAGGCAGGGATGAGGAGGTGACACCATCGCGCTGGGGAGAGGAACAGAACCCTGTGTCCCAAGTCCCCACCCAGGTGCTCTGCAGGCCTCCCAGAGAGCGTGAACGGGTTTCGATGGGGATAATAGTCTCTCCAAACACACTCTCTGCCGCCTTTCCTATTGAGCCATTCAGCTTTCAAACGCTTGGTACATTAGACCAAAGGATGGGTGTTTTGTCTTCTTTTTTCCCCTGCCTTTTTCTTTTTTAGGGAAAGCAATTTGCTCCTTTCTGATTTAGAATGAGATCTGGCACGTGAGTGCTTGTTCTCCCTCATTCCCTGTCCCCACACCCCCTCCCCACCCTTCAGTTAAAAAAAAAGTCCAGGGCGGGGAGGGGGAATAAGAACACAGGATCCATGCTAAGCAAAACTATTTGCATAAGCTGTAGGCTTGGTTCTTAGCCTATGACAAATTCCTCTGGCTCGGCTACCTGCCAGCTGCGTTTTCATCGGGGCTGGCAAGACAACTGAAGTCTACATTCTGTACTAATTAACGACCTTCAGGGGAGAAGACCACCAATTGCAATGCCAGCACACTTCGCTTGTTAAGGGGGACAGGGGGCCTTGTTGGACAAGGCCCAGGCTTTTTTCTTAGGGTGGTGGGCGGGTAAGCAGGCCAGGAAGGGGAAGGGGTGGGCCGGGGTGGGGGTGGGGTGCAGTAAACTGACCAAGATAGCTCTGAAGGAAGGAGGGAGGTGAGGGGCTCTGCTCTGGGGAGAGGACTCCTGCTAAGCGGAGCTGCCGGCAGGGCAAAGCCCATGCCACAGCGGGCAGCCCTATCTGAAAACACCAGGACGCCTTATCGGGCTGGCTCCACGGTGGAGACTGTGTTAGCGCCTGCTGACCACACCCACAGGCAGATAGCGGGCTACGCGGGTGGCAACGCCTGGTGTGAGAACGAGATGCTGCCGCTGCAAGACACATAGCGGGGAAGCCCAGGGGTCCACGGACGCCATCTGTTCTTTAACTGTGGGGGTCTGGGGATGGAGCTGACGAGAGGACTTCTTAAGGAGCATTCGGGTGGGGCAGAGCCACGTGTGGTCTTGCGTGTGTAGCCATGGCCACGCCGCGAGGACAGCTTCCTCTTCACCTGGATGAAGACGCCCCCAGCTACGGCACACCAGGGCCTGAAAGGACCCTCAGATGTCATTCCATGGACACTCCTGGAGCAGGAGGGTCTTAGTAGCCACTCTCAGGTGAATGGGGACATCGTCGGTTTCTGCAGAGTGAAAGGGGGTTCCCAGTGTCCCCTCTTGCTGAGGCATGTGTGGAGTGGCATTGGCATCTCTCTGGGAGGACGTAAACAGAGTCCTTGGCTGGTGGTCTCTCTCCCAGGACCTCCCTCCTACGTGCTCAGCAGTGCCCCTCCTGGAGGGAAAACTGAGGCCCTGCTCGCAGCTCACCTGGTGCCACCTGGGTCACCAGGCTGCTGCCTGGAGCTGGCTCATTGCAGACACACGCACTTAGAGCTGAGAGGCAAAGGGGCCATTGTTCCTTCCCTGAGGAGGAGCCTGGAGTGGAGAGATGGGGGCCCCTCTGCAGGCCCCAGCCACCTCGTATCACCACCCCATGCTTCATTAAGGGAGTACAACGTGTCCCCGTGGTCGCCTGCCAGCCGGGATGTCCTGTGTGACAGCAGATGCAAAGAGAATGAACAGGCGGCTGAAAGGGCTGGGGACAAAAAGAGCACATTGTCCAAAGCTCTGAAAGGGCCGCCTGAGAGGGGACATATGCATCTGAAAAAGGACCCCAGCGCGTCTCCCCCGCTGGCCTCAGCCCCCCTCACCCAAACCTTCCACTGATACTGCACAATGAGGTCTCCAAGCTGGGCAGGGCCCGGCCAGCGCTGGGCCAGCCGCAGGCATGGGCTAGGGACCAAGTGTGGGGAGAAGGGTCTCAGAGGCTCAGGGTCCTTCAAGGGCAACTCTCTAGCCCTGTGCCCCGTCTACCACCCAACAGAATCATCTCATCACAGAAGACTAGACTGGACGTGCCTGTAGAAATCTGGCCCAAGCCCCGTTTCACAGGTGAGAAGACCAAGGCTTAGGACATGACTCACCACTGCTGGTCAGTAGAGGGGAGGCTGTATGAACACCCAGACCGCCCACTCCTGGTCTGGCGTCCTTTGGGTGCCACCGCTGTGTGTTCAGAGGACAGTGGTGGAATTTTCAAAGGGGTTAGGTATTCTCTCCGGACCTCCTCTCTGTGCTCCGCTAGGATATGGGGCTGAAACCCAGCTTCAAGGGAAGGTGTGTCACCATACAAATCTCAGGGTTGGTAGGATTTGTAAAGTCGGGACTCAGAGAAATGGGAGGAAAGGAAAAACTAGCTTATATACAAGCCGTTATTTGGTGGGTGACAACTTCATGGCTTAGCAGAAGTCATGGGTTTGCAGGACGAACGGAAGAGTCCAAGTCTTCTGCTTTGGTTTGCAAACCTGGGCAGCCTCAGCCTTAGAACGTCAGGGCTGACCTCACACCAGAGCCAGCACGCTTATCAAGACCCGCTCTCGGCCCAACACTGACTAATGGCCCGGTATCTGCCCTGCACCTCCCAGAGAGTCAGCAGAGGGTGGAATGTGATGTTATGAGTGAGGAATTTTCGTAGACTCTAGAACACTGTGAAAACTAGAAGACTTTCTAACATGAAACATCTTGGGGTGGGAGGTGCCCAGCAGGTGGCATACTGGTTAAGGTGCTGAATCCCACGTGGTTGACCACAGTTTGAGTCCCAGACTTGGTGGCTTGAAAGTCATGCCAGGCATATGAGCATGAGTGCTCAAAATCCTGAGAGGAGAGTGCAGAAGGGATTGCAGTGTGGCCATCTCTCCTGGGAGTGATTTCTCACTTTCTGTCTCTCTCTTTCTCTTTCTCTCCGACAAGCGCACATGCCCGATAGTAAAAAAATCTCTTTAAAAAAAATCTTGGGGGAAGCTGACCAGTCTCATGGCCTAGGAGTTAAAGAAGCTGGATCCTACATGACTGACGATGTAGTTCAAGTCCCAGCCTCGGCTGCTTGAAAATCCCATCAGGAACATGTGCATACATACCTCAAATTCCAACAGGTCGGAGAAATGTAGGAGAAAGGATTGTGGGTGGGTGGGTGTCCTGTGGGTGGGTGGGTGCGAAGGTGCTTTCTCCCTTTCCCATTCCCTCTCCCTCTGTCTCTCTGTCTCTCTGTTTCTCTGTCTCTCTGTCTGTCTCTGTTGAGTGCACACGCCCTCTGGCAGTTAAAACATCTTGGAAGATGTAGTCATCGTTCATCCCCCCTCCCCCCGTATTCCTTTGTAGGCTATTTTCTAAACCAGCAATTGCTCTTTAATTTAGAGTTTCTAGAGGAGGGGGGAGGATTTGATGGGAGTCAAGGTTCCTTTGAAAAACCAGTTGTCAATTCAGTAATACCTCCATCTAGCCAGAAGGCGCAAAGGGGCTTTCGAGGACGCAAATGCTTCCGTCAAGGACGGCATCTGTGGGCTCGCTCACCCTTCAGCCTGTCTCCAGTGACTTTTCTGACATAAGAAGGCCCCTTCTCCACCTGGGGCAGCTTCCTCTTTCCTCCTCAGCCCCTCCCGAGGTACACTAAGTGGACCCTACAGATGTGGACGGCATCTCCCTGGGAGATGAGCTCACCGGCTGTGTGCTGGCAGATGTGGGGAAGTCTATGTGGTCTCACAACAGCTGTTGGAAATTCTTATCCCCTGAAATTTTCCATGCTGCCTATGGGGAAGTGGGCCGGCGAGACAAGAACGTGCGCTCTCCACCCTGTTGGGCGCTGCTGTGCGTCTGCGATCTCGATGTTCCCGCGAGCTGCACGTGCTGCAGGATGTCATAAACGACTTGGTTTGGCTCCAGACGCATGACACCGAGAGCTCCGATTCGGATTGCTTTCTCTGTCTCTCTGTCTGTCTCTGTTGAGTGCACACGCCCTCTGGCAGTTAAAACATCTTGGAAGATGTAGTCATCGTTCATCCCCCCTCCCCCCGTATTCCTTTGTAGGCTATTTTCTAAACCAGCAATTGCTCTTTAATTTAGAGTTTCTAGAGGAGGGGGGAGGATTTGATGGGAGTCAAGGTTCCTTTGAAAAACCAGTTGTCAATTCAGTAATACCTCCATCTAGCCAGAAGGCGCAAAGGGGCTTTCGAGGACGCAAATGCTTCCGTCAAGGACGGCATCTGTGGGCTCGCTCACCCTTCAGCCTGTCTCCAGTGACTTTTCTGACATAAGAAGGCCCCTTCTCCACCTGGGGCAGCTTCCTCTTTCCTCCTCAGCCCCTCCCGAGGTACACTAAGTGGACCCTACAGATGTGGACGGCATCTCCCTGGGAGATGAGCTCACCGGCTGTGTGCTGGCAGATGTGGGGAAGTCTATGTGGTCTCACAACAGCTGTTGGAAATTCTTATCCCCTGAAATTTTCCATGCTGCCTATGGGGAAGTGGGCCGGCGAGACAAGAACGTGCGCTCTCCACCCTGTTGGGCGCTGCTGTGCGTCTGCGATCTCGATGTTCCCGCGAGCTGCACGTGCTGCAGGATGTCATAAACGACTTGGTTTGGCTCCAGACGCATGACACCGAGAGCTCCGATTCGGATTGCGCACACTGTGTTGCCATGTCAACACGCACGCACACGCGCACGTGCTCACACACACACACTGGTGTCTCAAACTGTGCTCAGCACTGGAGAGGGACCAAGGAGGCTTCTCTCAAAGGCATTTCCTCTTGTGAAGACAAGGAACAGACTCCTGAAGAATCAGAGGCTGGAAGTGCGCGCTGCCCACAACCACAGAGGCAGAGTTCCCTCTGGACTGAGCTCACTGCGCAACAGGCTTTGTGGAGGAGCTGGGGCTCGTGCTTCCTGAGGAGGGAGCCATCACTTGGGCAGGGGGGTCAGGTGACAAACACGACTCTGCGAGCTTGGCCCATTTGGGAAGGTTCCGGGTTCACGTCTGCAGTCTTCCCTGAGTACACTGGCACGTGTGCCTGCGATCTAGGGTGGGCTGAAGCCAGGGTGCACCGTGACACCTAAACCCTTGTCAAGGGGCTCTCTCTCTCTCTCTGTCTTTTTATCCTTCTGTCTCTTTCTTTCTCATGGAAGAAAGGAACTAAACAAAAATAATAATAACGTGGGCAGAAAGGCAAGGGCAAGGCACCCCACACAGGGAAAGCGGGTGACAGGACGAGAAGGTGGGGAGGAGCTGGTTCCTCCCGGCCTCATGCATCCCGTGTATGTCTAGAGGCCGCTTACACAGTCCTGGAACCAAGAAGGCCAATGGAGTACAAACCGGTCTGTTCCCCCTGTCTAGACAGGACTATGACCACATCATCTTCTCTTCTCTTGTTCGTAAAACTTACCCATGAAAAAATTCCAGAATCCCCTGTAGGTTATTCAGGAATTTATGACCCAAATTATTAGTCAGTATTTCCCCACATTTGTTGTTAATCCCTTGGGCAGGCTGGTGTTTACAGCCTAACAACAAGCCTCAAACTTATAAAAGACAAGGTCCCCAAAAGTTAGCACAGGTTGAAAGGGTCTCACTGGACAAGCAGTACTGAACACCTACTATGTGCCAGGTGTCGCGTCAGTCTCTAGGATTCGGAGGTGAACGAGGGCGTATCTCCCTTGAGATACCTGTGCGATAGCAAGCCACAAATGCACAGTGTCAGAGTCTATTACCAGAAAATATCAGCAGAGAAAGCGACTAGTGACTACCTCTGCTTGGAGGTCGGGGATGTCAACAAAGGCTTCATGGGGGCTAGTTGTGCTGGGTTCTAAAAGATCCACAAGAGTTTGCCAAGTAGCTAAGGAAGGAAGCAGCACCCGGGTATGGGAGTCAGTAAGCCAACGTGTGAAGAGAGAAACAAGCACCCCTCATTTCCCCCAGGATCCTGCTCTCACACCTGACACAGAGGCAGCATAGGCTGAAAGAAGGATAAACAAACACAGAGCCCACCCAGCATGACGCAGAGTCATCCAGGGGATCAAAAGCCTCACAGGGGCAAACGCCATAAGGTCTTGCCAAATGCCCATTGGTTGGCACCCTAGAGTGTCTGAGCCTGGATGAATGTGAAGGTTCAAGTGGCATGTCCAGCACATCAAGGGTGCTTGGGCATTCATTTATTCATAGAATGAGCTAGAGGATTTTGAGCAAAGCAATTCCAAGGTGAGGTCATAAAAGCTTTAGCTTACAACAAAGAAGCCCAAATAAGGAGAGGGAGTTTGGGGTTGATGTGATCTAAGAGAGTTGGATTTATCTACTGTGTGTCCCTCCATCTCCTCTCAAATGCTTCTACTGCAACATCTAAGGTCCGAGTCCCCTACCTCAGTGGGCTGCAGGAGCAACGCTACGCAATCACAGCAACTGCAACAGCGAAAGTAATGGTGCAGACCACCAGGAGCCAGGCCCAGCTCCGAGGGCTTCATTTAATTCTCATCCTCTCAATCCTGTGAGGTCCATGCACTTACTAGCCCTTTTTAATAGACAGGGAAACTGATGAGTCAGGTCAAGTGATTGCCAGGGTCCTGTTGTTATTGATAATCAGAGAATGGAGTAGGACCCAGGAAGTGCGACTCCAGAGTCTGGGATCCTGGTCATGACCCACTTGGTCTACCTCCAGTGACGGGGTAGACCAGAAGTCTCTCCCTACCCTCTTTCTGCTCATATCCTGGGTTTCACAGAATAAGGATTATTATTGTTGTTACTATATACCCACTGCTCAGACTTGCTTTCCTATACTCCCAGTGTCTCGTTTTCTTAAATCCCAGGATAAAGTGGAGGGGCAGGGGTGGGTTGCATCAGGTTTGCAGAGAACAAAAGACGTGAGCTAGACTGCGGCAGTCAGTTTCCTATGGTATTTGATGATCTGAAAGGAACCCGGGCACCTCCATCTCCATATAGTCTCTTATTGGGGGCTCACAAGCTCCTCTGACCTCTGCTCGACTCCTCCGAAGCCCTAAGAGAAAAACATCTCATATGCAGATGAGAATGCGCTGAACCATTATGGAACCCCCCAAGTGTGGGCAGGACGGGGCAGAGGCTTCTGTGAGTATGGTCCACCCTCCCACATGACCCATGTCACCGGTCTGCCCAGAGGGACGACAGCCATGGGCACAGGCCCGCCCCCACCCCAACACTAGGACAGGCTTCACGGGGCCGTCAGGGCGTTCTTTCCCACTGTGTGTCAACGCTGTCTCAGAAGGAAGGCTTCTCAGCTTTGGGTTTTAGGCAGTTACTACCACAGTCGGATCTGGCCATGAGACGACACCCCTCTGACATCCCAGGGCCAGACGCTGGCTGTATGACAGGCAACCAGAGGGACATCTTGAGTTCCCTGCCTGACCTGGAACCAGTGCCCTGCCTCTCAGGGGAGATGGACATATTCTCACTGCAAGACCAGTGAGCTGACTACTGTTCCTTCCCTCTTTCATGTGACCAGGCCAGAACAAAATCTGAGCGATAGAATTACCTTAGGTTAGCTACGCAAACTTTTCTTATGTGTCAGATCTTATTAAAAATAAAATTTGGGGTCAGCAGGTGGCATGGTGGGTAAGGCGCTGGAATCCCACATCACTGACAGCGGTTTGAGTCCCAGACCTGATGGCTTGTTTTCTCACTTTCTCTCCCTCCTTCCTTCTCTCTCTGGTGAGCATACATGTCCTATAGCAAATTAAATAATAAAAATAAATAAAATTGAGTAAATAATTCTTTCTTTCTTAGAAGGTTTTGCTATAGGGCGCATGTACTTGCCAGAAAGACAGAGAGAGACAGAGAGACAGAAAGTGAGAAATCACCCCCCAGGGGGATTGGCCACGCTGCAATCCCTTCTCCTTCATTCTCCTCTCAGGATCTTGGGCATGCACGCACATGCGCCTGGTGTGAGTTTAAGCCACTGGGTTCGGGACTCGAACTACAGTCAACTACATGGGAGTCCAGCGGAATAGCAATTATGTCAACTACTGGTCTCTTAAGTAAACGATTCTAAAAAATAAGATTCAAAGCTGCTGCTTGGACTTGTGCAAGGTATATCTAAGACTACAGTGTGAGTGGTACCCCACGGGCTTGGGCGCTATACGACCTGAGTCA